GGAACCATCCCAAAGGCCTGTCGTCTTCATCTACCCTGACCCCTCAGGAAGCTCCGAAGCGGATTTAGCGGAATGCCCTACGGAAGAGGACCCCGCGCCCCGAAAGCGGTCCCTTGCTTCGCCGCCCAAGCCGCGGCTGGGCGCGCACCCCCGCGGCCGAGCCGCACCTCGGAGGCGCGGAAGGGGTGCTGGTGCTGTTGAAGTCATCGAGCTCCGCGAGGATCTCAACGGTGTCCGCGACGGCGATGGAGAGGTCACCCTCGGCGAAGGAGTCGGCGTGGCCGTCAATCACCACGGTGGGGACGGCGTGGGCGTTGGTGCCGAGGGGCAGGATCTGAGCACCGTTGCCGTCGAGCAGAGTTGGCCCATCCTGGTCCATCAAGGAGTTGTGGTCCAGACCGAGGGCCCCGTCGGACTGCATGAAATTGTTGGCGATGGAGGCGGATCGTGTGACGGTGAGGCCGGCTTTTCCGTGCCCCCTGTCAGATGTGGCGGCGCCTCTGTCACAAGCTGGCATCCCACATCAGTCGAAGATGAGGCCGGCTTCCACGTGCCTCCAGTCAGGTGTGGTGCCACCTCTGTCACAGGCTGGCCGACCACATCAGTCGCAGAAGAGACTGGCTTCTCCGCACCTCCAGTCAGGTGTGGTGCCGCATCTGTCACAGGCTGGTCACCCACGTCAAGCGGGGCCAAAAGCCCCATGGAGGAGGAAGAGAAGGAGGAAGAGAAGACGGAAGATAAGGAGGAGGGGATCGACAATGAGGAGAAGGACACGTGGTCTGAGAACGAGGAGGAGGAGGAGGAAGAAAAGAAGGGGGGGAAGGAGGAAAATGTTCAGTTGGAGAAGAAGCAACTGGCGATCCCCCAAAGCGCGATCAAGGATCGAGGATCTGCCGAACGACCTCCAGACTCGAGCCCTGGCGGCTGAGGAACGCGCAGCAAAACAATGCATGCATGCACACCTGTGTACGGCACATCCTGCGACTGCATGAAAGTAATTCCCGGAGCAGACGTCGTGAAGCCGGTGCAACATTGAAAGACAAAACAAAGAACAACAAGTAAACAAACCTGTTAGCCAGCGTGTACCCCAAATAATGATTTCCTAGACTGTGTGCGGTGCAGTGTTATCTTCACGGTGCAATCTGAGTGTTGCAATACATGTGGCGCAAACTATGTGGTGAGCAGAAACGCAAATCAATGCAAAACGATGCAGAGCAACGCAAAGCAACGCGAAGCAATGCAAAGCAATGCAAAGCAACGCAATGAAAAGCAACGCAATACGACTGCAAAGCAACCAAATCAAACACGATGCAATGCAAAGCAACGTAAAGAAATGCAAAAAGCAATGCAACGCAATGCAAGGCTATGCAGAGCTACGCAAGGCAATGCAAAGCCACGAAAGGCAACGAAAAGCAATGCCAAAGCGATGATGAGCAACGCAAAGCATGCAAAGCAACGCAAAGCAACGAAGCAACGCAAAGCAACGAAAAGCAACGAACGCAGAGCAATGCAAAGCAATGCAAACCGATGTAAAGCAGCGCAAAGCAGCGCGAGAAATCAATGCAAATCCATGTTGCATGGGTGGAAGAAGAAGAAGAAGAAGAAGGAGAAGGAGAAGGAGCGCGACCACAGAGCTTCACCTGACTCGGCCTCGACCGCTGAACAAATCAACAGGTCGACTGGCAGACAGGGAACACCACAAGAGCCGACCTTCGATAGGCAAATTCATGCAATGAACCGTGGCCCGAAAGAGGAACGGGCGTGCTGCATGCGTGAAGAAAGGACAACCGAGGAGGAGAAAAGGGAGGTACTTGGGCCTCACGCTTCTTTGATGACGCGCGCCGTCGTCCTTTGAGTTGTTTTGGGGTCCGTCTTTGGTCCCCAGGACTTCTCCATGCTACACGCTGCGCCCAACCAAGCGGGTGTGGAGTGTGGCCGTGGCGAGCCTCGGTTTTCGCCCGGCGTGCCCGCCCTGCCAAATACCCCCCTTCTCTCCTCAAAGCAGTGCAAATCGATGTAATACAAAACATAACCACGCAAAGCAATGCAAAGCGGTGCAACGCAATGCTAAGCCGTGCGCGGAGACGGCGACCACGTAATCAACAAACCGACGGGCAGGCGCAGAGCGACGGAGCGACGACGGCGACCACATAGCCGCCAGACCGACGGGCGGGACCAGGCGGTGACGAGGCGGCGACAGGACAACGACGGCGACCACATAGCCACCATACCGACGGGCAGGCCCAGTTCCTTAGAAAAGAGATTACCCTGGCGACGTACCCCACCCCCGCGCAATGCGGGGCAGGAGTAGCTTGGGAGATTTGACGAGAGGGCGGCGACGTGACATGGACGCATACACTTCTGCGAGCGGCATTTGGAAGGTTCGCAGACCCCCAATCAAGGAAAACACGATGAGTAACTAAGTGAACCCCTGAGTCACTAAGGAAGACGCAAGGTCCAAAACGAGACGGTGTGCAAGGGGCTGGAAACGTCGGCGGGGCAGCAACAACATGACATGGCCCCCCAAGGACGGCGAGACCCCGCTCAAGTCTGCGCAATGCCTCACTCCGCTGGAGCCACTGGCAGCTCGAAAGTGGCGAGCCCACCAGCAGCCCTCGAAAGTGGCGAAAGTTTCGCAGATCGCTGCCCCCAAAGGACGGCGAGGTCCCGCTCAGATCCGCGCGGTGCCTCACTCCGCTGGACCCACCAGCAGCCCTCGAAACTGGCGACGGCTTCGCAGATCGCAGCCGCCCAGGGACGGGGAGGTCCGCTCAGGTCCGCGCGGTGCCTCACTCCGCTGGACTCACCAGCAGCCCTCGAAAGTGGCGACAGTTTCGAGATCGCAGCCGCCCAGGGACGGAGAGGTCCGCCTCAGGTCCGCGCGGTGCCTCATTCCGCTGGACCCACCAGCAGCCCTCGAAAGTGGCGACTGTTTCGCGGATCGCAGCCCCCAAAGGACGGGGAGGTCCCGCTCAGATCCGCGCGGTGCCTCACTCCGCAGGACCCACCAGCAGCCCTCGAAACTGGCGACGGCTTCGCAGATCGCAGCCCCCCAGGGACGGGGAGGTCCGCTCAGATCCGCGCGGTGCCTCACTCCGCAGGACCCACCAGCAGCCCTCGAAAATGGCGACAGTGTCGCAGATCGCAGCCCCCCAAGGACGGGGAAGTCCCGCTCAGGTCCGCGCGGTGCCCAACTTCACTGGACCCACCAGCAGCCCTCGAAAGTGGCGACGGTGTCGCAGATCGCTGCCCCCCAGAGACGGCGAGGTCCCGCTCATATCCCCGCGGTGCTTCAGTCCACAGGACCCACCAGCAGCCCTCGAAAGTGGCGGCAATGTCGCAGATCGCAGCCCCCCAGAGACGGCGAGGTCCCGCTCATATCCCCGCGGTGCCTCACTCCGCAGGACCCACCAGCAGCCCTCGAAAGTGGCGACGGTGTCGCAGATCGCAGCACCACAGGGACGGCGAGGCCCCGCTCAGGTCCGCGCGGTGCCTCACTCCGCTGGACCCACCAGCAGCCCTCGAAAGTGGCGACGGTGTCGCAGATCGCAGCCGCCCAGGGACGGGGAGGTCCCGCTCAGGTCCGCGCGGTGCCTCACTCCACAGGACCCACCAGCAGCCCTCGAAAGTGGCGACAGTTTCGCAGATCGCTGACCTCTCGAGCCGGTTCGATCCATACAGTAAGTGTCCAGGGGGCCGAGGGAAACCAGGCGAAAACGCCCAGACTGACAAAACAAGTACCCTGGCGACGTACCCAACCCCTGCGCAATGCGGGGCAGGATTAGCTTGGGAGATTTGACGAGAAGGCGGCGACGTGACATGGACGCATACATGTCTGCGAGCGGCATTCGAAAGGTTCGCAGGTCCCCAATCGAGGGAAACACGATGAGTAACTCAGTGAACCCCTGAGTCACTAAGGAAGACGCAAGGTCCAAAAGGAGACGGTGGGCAAGAGGTTTGAAACGTCGGCGGGGCAGCAACAACATGACATGCCCCCCCAAGGACGGCGAGGCCACGCTCAGGTCTGCGCAGTGCCTCACTTCGCCGGACCCACCAACAGCCTTCAAAGGTGGCGAGCCCACCAGCAGCCCTCGAAAGTGGCGACGGTGACGCAGATCGCAGCCCCCCAGGGACGGCGAGGTCCCGCTCAGATCCCCACGGTGCCTCAGTCCGCTGGACCCACCAGCACCCCTCGAAACCGGCGACGGCTTCGCAGATCGCAGCCCCCCAGGGACGGCGAGGTCCCGCTCAGATCGGCGCGGTGCCTCACTCCGCTGGACCCAACAGCAGCCCTCGAAAGTGGCGACGGCTTCGCAGATCGCAGTCGCCCAGGGACGGAGAGGTCCCGCTCAGATCCGCGCGGTGCCTCACTCCGCTGGACCCACCAGCAGCCCTCGAAAGTGGCGACAATTCCGCGGATCGGAGCCCCCAGAGGACGGGGAGGTCCCGCTCAGGTCCGCGCGGTGCCTCACTCCGCAGGACCCACCAGCAGCCCTCGAAAGTGGCGACGGTGTCGCAGATCGCTGCCCCCCAGGGACGGCGAGGTCCCGCTCATATCCCCGCGGTGCTTCAGTCCACAGGACCCACCAGCAGCCCTCGAAAGTGGCGGCAATGTCGCAGATCGCAGCCCCCCAGAGACGGCGAGGTCCCGCTCATATCCCCGCGGTGCCTCACTCCGCAGGTCCCACCAGCAGCCCTCGAAAGTGGCGACGGTGTCGCAGATCGCAGTACCACAGGGACGGCGAGGCCCCGCTCAGGTCCGCGCGGTGCCTCACTCCGCAGGACCCACCAGCAGCCCTCGAAAGTGGCGACGGCTTCGCAGATCGCAGCCCCCCAGGGACGGCGAGATCCCGCTCAGATCCCCGCGGTGCCTCAGTCCGCGGGACCCACCAGCAGCCCTCGAATGTGGCGACAGTGTCGCAGAGCGCCACCGCAGATCGCTGCCCCCCAAGGACGGGGAGGTCCCGCTCAGATCCCCCGCTGCCTCAGTCCGCAGGACCCACCAGCAGCCCTCGAAACTGACGACGGCGTCGCAGATCGCAACCCCCAAAACGGCAAGGTCCCGCTCAGGTCCGCGCGGTGCCTCACTCCGCAGGACCCACCAGCAGCCCTCGAAACCGGCGACAGTGTCGCAGATCGCAGCCAGCCCCCCAGGAGCGGCGAGGTCCCGCTCAGACCCCCGCGGTGCCTCACTCCGCAGGACCCACCAGCAGCCCTCGAAAGTGGCGACAGCGTCGCAGATCGCAGCCCCCCAGGGACGGTGAGGCGACAGTGTCGCAGATCGCAGCCCCCCAGGGACGGCGAGGTCCCGCTCAGATCCCCGCGGTGCCTCACTCCGCAGGACCCACCAGCAGCCCTCGAAAGTGGCGACAGCGTCGCAGATCACAGCCCCATAGGGACGGCGAGGTCCCGCTCAGATCCCCGCGGTGCCTCACCCCGCAGGACCCACTAGCAGCCCTCGAAAGCGGCGACAGTGTCGCAGATCGCAGCCCCCCAGGGACGGCGAGGTCCCGCTCAGATCCCCGCGGTGCCTCACTCCGCAGGACCCACCAGCAGCCCTCGAAAGTGGCGACACTGTCGCAGATCGCAGCCGCCCAGGGACGGGGAGGTCCCGCTCAGATCGGCGCGGTGCCTCAGTCCGCAAGACCCACCAGCAGTCCTCGAATGTGGCGACAGCGTCGCAGATCGCAGCCACCCAGGGACAACGAGGTCCCGCTTAGATCCCTGCGGTGCCTCACCCCGCAGGACCCACCAGCAGCCCTCGAAACTGGCGACAGTGCCGCAGATCGCAGCCCCCAGGGACGGCGAGGTCCCGCTCAGATCCAAGCGGCGCCTCAGTCCGCAGGACCCAGCAGCAACCCTCGAAAGGGGCGACAGTGTCGCAGATCGCAGCCCCACAGGGACGGCGAGGTCCCGCTCATATCCCCGAGGTGCCTCACTCCGCAGGACCCACAAGCAGCCCTCGAAAGCGGCGACAGTGTCGCAGATCGCAGCTCCCCAGGGACAACGAGGTCCCGCTCAGATCCCCACGGTGCCTCACTCCGCAGGACCCACCAGCAGCCCTCGAAAGTGGCGACAGTGTCGCAGATCGCAGCCCCCCAGGGACAACGAGGTCCCGCTCAGATCCCCGCGGTGCCTCACCCCGCAGGACCCACCAGCAGCCCTCGAAAGTGGCGACGGCGTCGCAGATCGTAGCCCCCCAGGGACGGCGAGGTCCCGCTCAGATCCCCGCGGTGCCTCACTCCGCAGGACCCACCAGCAGCCCTCGAAAGTGGCGACGGCGTCGCAGATCGCAGCCCCCCACAACGGCGAGGTCCCGCTCAGATCCCCGCGGTGCCTCACCCCGCAGGACCCACCAGCAGCCCTCGAAAGTGGCGACAGTCGATCGCAGCCCCCCAGCGACGGCGAAGAGAGGGCAGGAGGAGGCGGGAGGAGGCGGGAGGAGGAGGAGAAGGAGGCGGAGAAGGACTGGAGACCGCAGTGCTCTATTCAAAACGAATACCCAACCAAGGACGGTTGGGAAAAAGAAACGCCCAGACCTCAAGGGCATGCTGGTCATGGCGTGCCCAGACCGTCGACGTAATGATAACTGCGCTCAAGACGTGGACTCGGGCCTTCCACCCTGTGCCGTTCTCGGACAGCCCCGGGGCCTGCCGAGGGCCCCGGAGATCGAAAACGGCGGAAAACTTCCGCGCCGATTTCCTCAACACGTTGGAGGGTCTGGGGTAACCGCTCGCCCTGCGGCGGCCGCGCCGGAGGTCCCCCCTCCTGCCGCCTGCGACTGGGCCGGCCAGCCCGCCAGCAGCGGCGGCTGGGAACAGGCTGGCGCCTGCCCGCCCCGCCTTGACTTCGGACCCGCCGTACTTTGAGCGATTTCGCAAGTGGGGCGGAAATGTCGGCCCCACTATTCAAGCTCCTGGGATGTCGATGTCCGCCCTACTTGGCCGTGGCTGCTTCCGCCATGCGTTTCAAAGAATGTCCGCCACACTCTCGTGATACGGCAATGTCCGCCCTCCTTTTTCGCATGGCATGGGGTGAACTTCCGAAACAATTTTCAGTCGGGGACGCGCAAACATGGATTAGCGATCCATGGATTGGGCGCGCGGTCGCCAAATCCATGGATCGGGGGAGGCACCCTCCCCAAAATGCGGCCGGTGCCGCTTCGCTCTGCGAAGGAAATCCGCGATTTCCCAAGGAAACGGGACCCGTCGCTTATCCACGCCCCCGATCGCCTGGTTCAGGTCGGACAATCTACCAAAGTCCGAGGTCAGGGCGCTCCCCCGAGCTCTGGGCGGTGCACCTCTCAGACTGCTGGGCGGCGCTCGAGCCCTCTCGGCGGCGCGCCCAAGGGGGGGAAGGCCAAGAGGGCGGGCCTCCACAGAAGGCTCCTCCTCCGCCTCCTCCTCCTCCTCCAAGAGGGCATCTGGAGTTCCGAAAAGCTTTCTACGGTCGGGAGCTTTTGCCGAGCGTGTCGCGGCGGCGGCCCCGGCGACACGCTATGCCTTGCGAATGCATAGCGTGTCGCTCCGCTCCACGGGGCGGGAGGTCGGGGAAAATTCGAGACATTGACGCCTGAGGATCGGGAAGTAGACAGCGTGTCGCGCCGAGGCGCGGTGGGCCAGAAACGGTTATGCGACACGCTAACCAAAAGTTCTGGACGGTGAGCCTTCTACGAATTCAAGTATCACCACCGTGAACGTGTCCTCGGGCGGCCCGCTCGTCGACTTCCTGCCCACGTGCTCGTGTTTATGCATCGCGGTGCAGGAACATCATGCCAAGGCCGAGGGCGATGCTTTGGCGAAGTTGCAGAATAAAGTAAGAGCTGCTGGGTACCATGGTATATGGGAGCCCGCCCTACCTGGGCAGGGAGTTGGCAGCGGAGGCGGGGTTGCGGTGCTGGCCCCGCTGCGGGTGGTCATCACCAAACCCCCAGGCCTGGACAGTCACGTGCTGCAGGAAGGCAGGATGATGGCGGCCCATGTCCACGCTGGGGTGAAGGGCGGCTTCGTCATGCTGTCGTGCTATTTCATTGTGGACGTCAAGCTGTCGCCCGAGAACCTGGCCATGCTGTACAAGCTGTACCAGTATGTCAGGTCGCTGGAGGCCATGGGCGTTCCGTGGATCGTAGGAGGCGACTTCAACATGGAGGTAGGCGAGCTCGGCCCGTTGTCCTGGCTCCAGTCGGCCAATGGCGTGGTGCTGGCGCCGAGAGAGCCGACTTGTCTTCAGAGCCTTCCTGGCCGCACCATTGACATGTTCATGGTTTCTTGCCGGTTGCTGCCTCGCGTTCGGCAACCAGTGGTCGTCGACGCGGAGACGCGGCCGCATCTTCCCGTGACCATGGAGTTCTCCGCCACGCCTTTCGACGCGAAGGTCAGGAGGCTAGTCGAGCCACGCGGCATTCGTAGGCCGCCTGCGGCGGGGTGCGCGAGGTTCCCCCCCGACTGGGACCCGATTTTGGCGATCATCCAGAGTGCGTCGGACAGCGAGGGCATCACCAGGGCCTGGGACGTCGTGCTCAGCGGCATCGAGTTCGAGCTGCGGGGCCGCTACGACCTCGTGAGTGACGTGGCGGAGTACTCCACGGTGCCAGGCCCCCCAACCTTCGAGCTGGCGAGTTTTCACCCTGTCGTGAAAGGTGCCTGGAGCAGGAGGTCGGCGGACACCCAGGCCTGGGCGCAGGCTGCGCGCTGGGCTCGTCACCTCAGGAGGGTACGAGTGGCCTTGCAGAGCTTCGTGCTCCAGCTTCGCCCGCAGCAGGTCTTCGAGCTCGGCAGCGTCGGCGAGGCGCACGTCGACGGAGTGCCTGGCCTGGGCGATGGGGCACCCCCTGCTGCGGAGGTCGTCGGAGTGGCTGGTCTCTCCTCCGATGGTGGTCGGCCTCGGTCGAGAGCTCAGCGACACCAGCCCCCGCGACGTGCAGGCGAGGACCTATCGTGGGACGCCGTGCACTCCAAGGCGGCGCGCCACCTGCTGGAGTGCGAGAATTTCTTCCAGAGAATCTGGCGGAGGAAGGGAGTCTGGCCGCACCTGGACGCCGAAGCCGACGGCTTCTTCTCGCGTGGCATACTTGCCTTAGCGCAGGCAGACTTCGAGCAGCAGGTCGACCGCATCCTGAGTATCTCCTCCGATGCTGAGGCCAAGCATGAGAAGGCCGTGATGCAGAGCTGGAGGCAGTGGGCGCAGGCAGCTTTTGCGGCTGGAGCCAAGGGTGCTCACCGATTCATGAAGCCCAAGGCTCTCCAGAAGATCGTGGACGGAGGCAATGGGCTACAACATGGGTACGTACTGGCTGATCGTAAGCTTGAGTATTGGGAAAGCTTCTGGGTGCGGCATGGCGGTGAGCTGGCTCGCCGACCTGTTGATGCTGACACTTGGGAGCAGCTGCCAAGGCTTGAGGCGGCCGTCGTACTCAAGGCAATCCGTTGTTTCTCTTGGCAGACAGGCGTCGGGCAGATCAACATCGCGCCCAGGGCCATGGAGCACCTCTCCCACGGGGCGCTGACGGCCATGGCGCGCCTTTTCGAGCGGTGCGAGCACCTCCTGCTGTGGCCAGACGGCAGATTCCTCTCGAAGCTCGTGAGACTCCCCAAGCCAGGGGGTGGGGAGCGCCTGATTGTGCTGATGAACACGCTGGTCAGGATCTGGGGACGGGCGAGGCGGCCTGTCTCGGCAGCGTGGAGAAGGCCCATGCGCTACCAGAGGTCTGGGGCCACACTGGAGGCAAGTCGTCGAGTGATGCGGCCTTTGATTTGGCGCTCACCAAGGAGATGGCGACCCTGTGCGATGACGACGCCATCATTGTGCTGCTGGACATGCTCAAATGCTACGAGCTGGTCAGGCATGATGCCATTTTGTTGGAGTGCAGGGCCAATGGATATCCTATGCGAATGGCGTTCATGCTTGTGCAGATGTACCAGCAGCTGCGTTCGGTGTACTCGTATTCTTCGTATTCAGTGGCGCGCAGGGCGTATCAGGGCATCCTGGCAGGCTGCACCCACGCCACTACGCTTCTCATGGTGTTGTTGACTCGCAGCATTCGCCAGACGATGTCGGTCGCTCCTCAGGTTCAGCCAAAGGACTTGGTGGACGACGTCGCGCTGTGCTGGGTCGGCAACGACCCGAGCGGGGTGCGAGAAATGGCCATTGCCACTCGTGCTTTCTGCAGGGCTGTCCGGCCCCTCGGGCTGGTGCTGCAGATGGATAAGTCTGGGCACCTTACGTCGTCCAGGCGCACCAGCTACCACTTTCAGAAGTACGCCAGGCTGCTGAAGATCGCTGGCAAGAGGCACATGCGGTATCTTGGCCACGACCTAGCTGGGTCGTCGGCCACAAGGGCCGTGCAGACGGGACGCCTGAAGGCCATGCACGGCAAGAAGGCCAGCGTTCGAGCATTGCAGAAGGGAGCAGGACGACAGCGGGCGGCTCGGCTCTGGGCCACGGGCGTGCTGCCATCAGTGGGGCACGGAGCCACGGTCAGCGGCATCAGCGACACGGAGCTGCAGCAGATGAGGACCATGGCTGGCGTCTTCTGTGGCTACAAGGGGTCGGGCTCCCTGACGCTGTACCTGGCCGCGCAGCAGTGGAACTTCGACCCCATAGTCCACGCTACCTTCAGCATCGTGGGGCAGTACGCGGCGTGGGTGTGGGATGGGCGTGTGACGCTCTCCCGACTGCAGCGGGCCTGGATGGGCTTGCGTGACTCCTGGGAAGCCCGCCACACTCACGTCACGTGGGCCAGTGCGCAGGGCCCGCTTTCGGCCTTGTGGTTGTCCCTCAGGAGAGTCAACAGGAACATGGCAAGTTCTACAATCTTGGTTGACGATGAGGGCCTGCATATCAGTTTGCTGCAGTATTGTCCCAGTGAGGTGCTGTTTTTCCTGCGTCGCAGCCTCGACCGTTGGCAGAGCCATCGTATCCTCGACCAGCTGCCTGAGGCGCCCCCAGCCGATGGTGACGGCAGGCGGCAGCAGCATGTGTGGCTTCGTGCGCTTCGACTGGGACACGCCTCCTTGGCGCCTGGCCACAGAGGGGCTCTGCCAAGCTGCAGTCCAACGGGTTCTGGTCGCCGCAGCGCCGCATGCAGGCTGGCTACGGCGGCGACGGTTCGTGCGAGTTCTGCGGGGAGGCCTGCTGCGACCTCGAGCATGAGATCTTCGGCTGCACGGAATTGCATCAGCAGCAGGAGGACGAGGAGACGGAGCCGTACCCCGAGGAGGTGGCCAAGAGGAGGAAGGACATCCTGGAGGCAGCCCCGTGGCGCGACGGGGCCAGGTGCAGGACTTCTCGGCCGTCGACGTGCTCTACGCGCTGCCCCTGAGGCCTGCTTTCAGGCCGCTGCCTGCACGTGCTCAGGCTGAGCGCGAGTGGGGGGCGATCGACATGCCGTGGCCGTCGAAGTTGCACGGGGACGGGTCCTGTCTTGAAAGTGATTTCCCTGAGGAACGGCGCTGTGGCTGGGCCGTCGTGGCATTGACCCGAGACCTGTGGCCATACAAAGCTTTGTTCGGGAGCCTGGGGGGCCCTATCCAGACGGTGCCCAGGGCCGAGCGCGTTGCTGGTCTCAAGGCCCTGCAGAGGGCCCAGAGGCCAGCCACGTACGTGACTGATCATTTTCAGCTGCAGGTCGAGGGAATGGCCTGGGAGGGTCGTCATGCTTCTGCCAGAGCGCCTCACGCGTCCATCTGGCGGAGCATCCACGAGCTGTATAGAGGCGACCCTGTAAGGCCCGTGTTTGTTTGGACGAAGGCCCATCGGACCGTCCTCGAGGGGTTTGAGGCCTGCCTGGCCTCCCAGGAGCCCCTGGAGCATTTTTTCGGTAATATGTGGGCTGATGTTTTCGCCCGCGTGGCAGCGGCTGATTTCCTTGGATCCACCTCCGTGGTCAAGGCTCACAAATTTTCTCTGCTTCGGGCCCAGGACACGATGCGTTGTCTGGCCTGGGCTGCCGAGCGCGTGGCCCGCCTCTCACCCCGATACTCCGTGCGCCTCCGAAGGCTGTCTTTCGGCCCCGCCGTCCGCGGCGGCCGACCGATCACGACTTTGTGGTCTTCGCTGGGGGAGCGATTCGCTGTCGTGCCTGCTGGAGGCTTGCAGCGACGGCTTCGTCGTTGAAGTCTCTGGCCTCCCGTGCATGCGACCCCCAGGAGGTCGGGCCAGGACACCAGGTCCAAGCCTTGGATCGAGTTTTGATATGTGTAAAGTGCGGGGCGCACGCTGTGCGCCCCAATCGGCTGTCGGTCGGCCTGTCTCGAGCGTGCAAGAGGGCTGGGACGGGGTCGGCGGGAGCTGGGAGTGGGGGGGACGGAGCCATCGCGTCGATGCTCGAGCAGGCTCGAAGGGGCCTGCATCCCAAGACGGGCGAGCCCCTCGAGCCGCTCGTCTTCTCGGAGCTCGGGGAGCCTGCGTCGCAGCAGGCGCCCGAGCCCGAGGCACCTGCATAGTGGGCGGTAGTGCAGGCGTGGGTTTGTCTACCCAACGGGGGGCGCGGTGCGAGTGGG